AATAATTTTTAAAAAGGCCCAGGACCCTGAAAAGCTGCTCACCGTTGCCCTATAGCTTCTCTTTGCTCAACCTAAGTGCTTTGTTGCACCATCATAATACAGTGGTCTGGGGACTTGCAGGAGCCACACAAATAGCTGTTGGGGCCATAGCTGTGGGTGGCATACAAGTTAAATAAATAAATAAATGTGCCACACTTTCCTCACCCCTGTATTGAATGTCCCTGGAGTCCATCTTTTTACAACTGGAAGTCAGACAGTGTCCATCTTCTGGTGTTTCCCAGGACCCGTGATGACCGAAGAAAGTGCTGGGGTGGAGGGTTGAGAAAGGAGCTGGTGCTATAAAACATTTGCTTCTCCACTTGATGCTCAACTTAAACCACTAGTTCTGTAAATTGTCTTTGAGATTGTGGATTGTTTTTTGTTTTAGGTTTAGCCATGATGGAGGAACATGCAGCGCATAATTATACAGGTACCTCTGCTAAGAGAACAGCACATTGTTTTTATTTTTTGAAATAAAAATTGTGAATTGATACCAGTCCTTTTTGCCCACAGTTGAAAATGTAGTTGGCTGCCATGTGGAAGATTCAGTAACATTTTGGGCTCAGGTAAGCTTAAGATAGTAGAGTATAAAATAAAGCTTTTTGAAAAAAGTATGAAGAGGATTGATTATGCTATTTGAAATAGAAATTATTGAAAAATAATCTTGATAGAAGAAGGTTTATGTCCATGGTTTTTCGAACATATCTTATGTTTGTAGCGCTTCAGAATTCACAGTGTGTTCTTAAGGTATTCTGTTTAAAAACATTTCATGTGAAAACTGAAATTGATTTCAACTTGTCATGTTTTAGGACATCAATAGACAAGATGACATCTTGAAGGCGAGCTGTGCTCTAGCTGAAATCTGTCCTCAAGCCAATCCAGTTTTTGGCAATCCTGATCTTACTAAGGTAGGTTTTTATGTGTAGTTCTTTTTGTTTACGTAACTGTAATCTTTATTTTTTCTAGTAATTGTTTATTGGCTACTTGTGTATCTTACTTGCTTCCCACTTGATTCATTACAGTGTGTGGCTCTCTTTTTTTGTGATCATAGCAACCCAGTAGGGTAGTGGCGCTGAGAAAGTGCTGTAGCGGTGTGTCTAAAATGTACCATAAGAATCTGCATTCTGTAGCATCCACTGTTGAAAGTGCTTTTGGGTAGCTGTGGTGTTCTTGCTGTGTCTTGATCGGACACCTCAGCTTGCAGTGCACGGGTATTCCATTGGAGCTCAGCACAAATCACTAAGGAGGTGGTAGCACCTCTGGACTTTTCTCTGTGTTTTGTATCCTCTGACTTGGAAAACTCATTTGGCAGTCAGACTAGCCACTTTCTTATTCAGTCAGAACAAGATTTTTGTGAGGATAAATTGGAGATGATACTTGCTTGTTGGAGGAAAGGTGGGGTGTAAATGTCTACAGTCATTATGTAGTAATTGCATTCTGTAATGCCATGTAGATTGTTGTATTTTAAAATCCTTACATTACTCAAGCTGAGCAATCAAAAGATTGTTTTAAGTTTATTATGAAGGATAATATTGCATATGGGATACAGGAAATATTTCACAGGAGGCTTTAGCAGCATTCTCTTTGATTTCCAATGTTTTATGGAAAAGGGGGTTGGGGAAGGTAGTCATGGGTGGGAAATGTTTTCCCCTGAAGTTCTGTGTTTTCTTTGTTGAGCTTGATATTTTTGTTGTTACTTTCATGCGTGTTTGGCAACTGTGAGACAGAACTAGGTTACTATTCAAGAATCATAAGGTCAAAGCCACCTCGGCTGCTCTAAACCCTCTGAGGTTCTTTGTATCCCAGATTATGACACATAGGGAAAGAGTGAACATTTATAGGCTGAACTATCAGTGATTACAGGGTTGGGGAACATGTCCAGATATTTTTAGACCACAATTCCCATCCCCTAACTAGCATAGTTAGTGTCTGATGATGGGAGCTGTTATCAAGATATTATCTGACTTACTGATTTGTTCCTTTGGTAAAATGTTGATGTTTTTGGATGATTTGCAAATTATGACTTTTATCTTTTACTGTGATTATAACATTTTTTTAATAGAGGGACCAGATTTATTTATTTAGGTCTGGGCAGTAGCCAGGAGTAGATTTCTTGCATGGTTAAAGCTGGTGTGCCAGCTGCTCCCATTCCTAAAAACATCTGATTTGATTACAGTGACATATGCTTCAGTTGCATTGCTTTTGGATTACTACTATGTGTTCTACATGGGGCTGCCTTTGATGATGATTGGGAAATTACAGCTGGTGCAAAATGCTGCAGCCAGATTCTTTACTAGGGCTGATTACAGGGAGTGCATAACTCCTCTTTTATAGCAGCTTCACTAGCTACTGGGTTGTTTCAAAGCCTAATTATAGTAGTGATTATGACCTATAAACCCCCATATGGCTAGAGCCAGGCTATCTGATGGACTTCTTATTTATTAATTTTTAATTGCAATATATATGTTTTTAATTCTTGTTCTTTTTAAAGGATTTGTGAACTGCCTTAAGTTCCAGTACCAGGAGAAAGGTGACATAAAATCCGACAGATAAATAAAAAAAATAAATAAGCATAAACAGGTTAAATGCCAGCTGTTATTATTTTATGAATAATTGAATTGCAGCCTTCTCAAGATTTTTAAAAGCAAATATATATAAACTTCTAAAATGCCCTTCTTTGATTTTGATTTGCAGATCTATGGAGGGTGCTTTTCTGAAGATAAATGCTGGTACAGATGTAAAGTATTGAAGGTCATCAGTAATGAAAAGGCAAGAAACATTTTTTTGAATGAACAGCTGCACAGCATGATTTTCTTAATAATGTTGGAAAATGCAATGTGTTTATGTATAAAAGGTGCTGAAAAGCTTTTTGCTAGTGGCATTACTTTTACATTCAGCTCTTCATTAATACGCTATTCATGTTGATGGTTTCAGATTGCTTTAGTTTTGTTTCAGCCCTGCATTTTGATTTTTTTTAACTTGGCCTTGAATAAATAGGATGCAAAATATTCAAATAACTGAGTAGAATTAGCATGTTTTCCCTGTAGGCTGTTTACTTACATATTTAATGGGTAGATCTGAACAGAAATACGTCCATTTTACAAGAAACCCCAGATAGCCATCTTGGTCCATTAGAAAAATGGACTCCAAATTCTTTGTTGGCAGTATTTTTACTGGGACCAACCAGAATGTCAGAAAAGAATGTGCAAGCTTCCAGATGCTCCAGAAGTTTCCATCAGGAATCTAAAAAAGCATGGATCTCCTAATTAGATCAGATGTTGAAGCATTTGTACCCAGCTTCAAAACAAAGATTATAGACAGAATGAATTCGTTAGTCTTGTATTCTGCAAGTAAGATTCAGGGACAAAGAAGCAGTGACTACCCCCTTCCCCCTTTTTTATCCATTTCTGTTTTTTAATTTTGGAGGAAGGTGCAGGTTTCTGGATAGACAGAGAGCAGAAATATATAGAAAGATGATGATTTGTATGTGAGCAAAGCCAGAGGTTCGTTTTATATTTATATTTTTTACTAGATAAATTTCTGGAAGTCAAGCATAGGGAACATAGGGTTCCCCAGATATGTTGTACTGCAACTCCCATTTATTCTTCAATACAGTATTTGCTAAATTGGTTAGGGCTGATGGGGATCCAACAGCATGTAGTCTAAATGTTCCCTTTTCTTGCCGGAAGTGTTTCGCTTGCTATAGTACTGCTTGCTCCAGATGGAATTCTTCAGCGAGTATGAAAGGCTGCAGTCCTGTATATGCTTCTCTGGGAGTAAGTCCTGTTGTAATCGCTGGAGCTTGCGTCTGACTAAACACACAGGATTGCACTGCTACTGTTGTAACTTATAGTTTCAATAGGCTACTGCTTTTTTTTTATAGTGCCAAGTATTATATATTGACTATGGAAACTCTGAAATTCTCAGTCGATCGGAGATAGTTGAGATTCCGGCGCAGTTTCAGTTTCCTTGTGTTGCACAAAGATACGTACTATCGGATTTACAGATAAGAGTTACTCAGGATTTAAATCTGTTTGACCAGGTGAGTCAGATCTCTAATGAGTTTGAAGACTTAATTATCGCCTAGTTGTCATTGTTGGGGGAATCTATAAATTTTGGTCATATCTGAAACAAGGAAGCAAAGCAGAGTATTCTGTTAAATGTTACTCATATATTTCAGTTTGAGGAGTTGTTGTTACGTGCTGTAAAGTTGCCTCCAGTTTAGGGACACCCTATTAATGCGTGAGTTCCAAAATGTCTTTTCATTAATAGCCATGCTCAGCTGTTCCAAACTCAAGCCTGTTCCTTCATTTGTAGAGTCACTCTGTCTCATCTTTTTCTGCTAATTTCATCTTTTCCTAGGATTATTATCTTTTCCACTGAGTCTTGTCTTCTGATATATCCAAAGTACAGAAGGCTCAATTTAGTCATTTGTCTCTGTAGAAAGAGTACAGGCTTGATTTGATCTAGGACTCACTTGTTTGTCTTTCTGGTGGTCTAGGGTATTTGCAAAGTGCTCATCTAGCACTGTGTTTTGAATTGATTGATCTTTTCCCTGTCTGCTTTCTTTCTTTTCTAGTTTTCATGTCTGTACATAGAAACTGGAAATGCAATAGTGTTGAAAGGTCTTGGTCTCTAGTGAGACATTTTTATATTTAATTGTCTTTTCTAGTTCCTTTGTAGCTGCCCTCCCAAACCTCAGTTTTCTTCTGATTTCTTCACTGTAGTCTCCATTTGATTTGAATTGAATCAAGATATTTAAATTTTTTAGTGATTTCAGTTTTTTTATTCTCAATATTAAAGTTATATAGTTCTTCTGTAGTCATGATTTTGGCTTAATATTCAACTGCAGTCTTGCTTGCACTTAATTCTTTCACCTTCAGCAGGAGTCATTTCAGTTACTCCTACTCTTTATCAGTGAAATTGTGTCATCAGCGTATGTTAAATTATTGACCTACCAACTTTTATTTTGTCTTTGTCTGAATCCAGTCCTGCTTTCCAGATGATATGTCCTGTGTGAAGGTTGAAAAGGTTGAACAGATAGGGAGATAAAATACACCCTTGTCTGGCACTTTTGCCTATGGGGAGCCATTCTGATTCTCCAGAATCTGTCCTAACACCAGCTCCCTGTCTACAATATAGATTACACATCAGGACAATCTTGTACTGAGGCACACTCATTTCTTTTAGAACAGTCCATAGCTTTTCATGATCTGTGAAGTCAGAAACTTTGCCGTACATAAAGTAGAGCAAAGTACAAACTATAAAGTACAAACTGATCTTCTGAAATTGTTTGGTATGTCCCAGTAGTCATGATATATTTGCAATATGAGGTCTAGTGCCTCTTCCTTTTCAGAAGCCAGCCTGAACATTGTACATATCTCACTTTCCATAGGTTAAAATTCTTTGCTACAGCACTCTGAGCATTGCTTTGTTTGCATTAGAGATTAATGCTATAGTTACTGTAGCCCTAGGCATCTTTTTTATTTGAGAGTGAAATCTATGCTGAATGTTTCTAGTCTGTGGTCCATTGCTTTATTTTCCATATTTGTTAGTATTTATTGTTAGAATATCTTATTCTTGTCAACTTGTATGCTCTTCTATTGATCTTTCAGTGTCCCCAATCTAGGTTTTGATTTTTTATCCTTTGGATATTATGGAAGGATTGAAATGTTACCTAATGGCAAAGAGCCTCCTTAAGAACAGAGTGTGTAACTATACGGTTTTATTATTATATTTATAGAAGGGCAATAAACCAATATGGACAGAATCCAAAAAAAAGTTTATGCCACCTTCATACATAATTCTAAATTATTATTTAACTCCATGTGCATTATACCAGCTTGAACAATCTTGAGTAAAACCCAAGTTAGTTTTGATTACAAACAGGATTTATGGAAAGTATAACTAAATTCTGCCAAAGTCTTCCTTCCCTAAGGGAAAGACAACTTTTGGCTCTATTGGTAGCTTCTGACTTTCCACAAACAACTTTCATTATGCTAATTACAGCCAGGTCTACCTAGCTTATCACCCCATGAAGGATCAGCTAATTACCGTGTTTCCCTGAAAATAAGACAGGGTCTTATATTAATTTTTGCTCCAAAAAAGCATTAGGGCTTATTTTCAGGGGATGTTATATTTTTTTTCATGTTACAACAATCTACATTTATACAGTCATGTCATCTTCTTCTGGTTGCTGCACAGTGGTGGAGGGCAGGGTTTCACTTAACTGGGGCTTATTTTGGGGGTAAGGCTTATATTACGAGCATCCTGAGAAATCATACTGGGGCTTATTTTCAGGTTAGGTCTTATTTTCAGGGAAACAGGGTAATAGCTTCATAGTCCCATTCTGTTTTAATGAATCATTGTCACTATCTGTATCCTCACGTGCACATGAATCTTACCCCCATGGAATAAATAAAGGCAACATATATTTATACTCTTGTGTGTGAAGAAGTGGATTTTGATCCAATGAATCTATTAGTCTTAAAAGTGCCACAGTCTTTTGCCTTCCCCTGCTTTCCTCCCTTCTGTAATGAAACTTAATGTTCATCCTGTGTTTTCATTTCTGTAAGCTGATTTCGAAAGCTCTACATAAACCTATTCAAACACTGCTTTCTAAACTTACTTTGCAGGGCAGGAAGTTTCTGAATACTTTGATATTTGAAAAAGAAATTAAGATAAGATGCAAATCAACACGTCCCGATGGCACCATTGTGGTCCAGGCCGAGTGTGGTGTACTGGATGTTGGGGAAGAAGTGGCTGAGAAAGGGTTTGCTGAAAGATGCCAGTCTCCCACAAAGCGTAATAACTGTGAGACCAAAAAAGATTCCCTTTTATACCAGCCCAGGAATTCAGAAAGTTCAGATCCACTGTGGGGAGCCAGAGGAAGCCCTCTCCCAAGCAGGAGGCCAAAAGGGGGCTTTGGTGATCATGTATCACCTCTGAATGGGAGGAATGAGAGCAACTCTGTAAACGATTTGTCAATTCTCAGGTAAGTCATAGTGAGGAGATGAGCAGAAATCATGTGAGTGAGATGGGAAGTGAGTGACAGTTCTGCACAGTGAGCACCTATGAGAAGTACTATTGGATCCAGCCTGCTGGAAAAAATGATTTACTCACTGGACAGTCTTCAGTTTTATCCCCCTGTACTGTATCAGGTGGGCAGCTGCAGCCTGGCAGATTTTTTTTTGCCTACAACTGCCATCAGACCTAGCCAGCATAGCCAATAGTGAAAGGTAATGAGATTTGCAGTTCAAAAAGTAAACCGGGGGGGGGGGCATTTTGGCAAGACAGAGTTGTTTTCATATGTGTAAAACAGCTTCCTTATTTGATATATTTGCATGTGGTTTGCAGTACTGAAAACTGGCTCTAGTACTGTGTTTTGATATCCTGTTCTTGTTAAGTCCTGATATTAGATCTTTACCCCCATCCTCACTAGATTCCTGCAAATACCCTTGCATCTAACTTCCTCATAAGGTTTAGCCTCCCTCTGAATGTGATTCCCTCCTAAAGTAAAGTGTAAAAAAGTGTGCATATCCTTGGAGATCACTTCCTGTTTTCTCTTGCTCTTTTAAGCTGTAAGGTTGACTGGATAGCTTGGGAGTTCAAGTGGCCTTAGGCAAGCTGCACAGTTCCAGGGTGCTCCCAGAAGAAGGGAATGGTAGACCACTTCTGAGCACTCTCAACCTAGAAAGCCTTGACAAAGGGATTGCCGTAAGTCAGTATTGACTTGACAGGACACAGTTATTATTATATTAAGCTGTAAAGGGCAGTTTGCACACAGTTTGCACCACTGTCTCCAGACTGAAGGGTAGCCACCAGTGTCAGTCCATTTCCAGTAGTATGCAACACCCAGTGGCTAATTTCCCGCAGTGTCAGTCCATTTCCAGTAGTATGCAAGACCCAGTTAGTCCAGTAGTATGCAAGACGCAGTGGCTAATTTCCCACCCCATGTTTCGTGGGGATGGTGTGTGCATTGACCTCCAAGAAGCAGAAAAAATAAAAAGTGAGGCAGAGATAGATGTCTTCTCCTGTGGCTAGAAGAGAAAAATCCCTAACAAATGAAAATGTCAGGGTTAAACAGCAGGAGGCTCCCTCACCTCACCTCCATGAGTATGTATATTATTAACTTGCTGTTGTTTTGTGATTGATCTTCAGGACATACGCACTGGATTTGTTTGAAATCTGATTTCCCTAATCAGAGTGCCTTGATTGCGCCTTTTCAACATTAATGTGTTTTGGTTCTAATTGTGGGCTTTATCTATGGCCCATTTCTGGCCGAAAAATGGGTAGAATATTATTTTTGGCTTTTAAGAGGTGTGTGTGGAGGATGCTTTGCTACTTTTTATTTCAAAAGAATATCACCAGTCTAGAGACTTCTGAGAATGTCATTCGCCATCTTTTTGATTGATGGATTGATTGCAGAATTTTGCTTCAGGGGACTTTGGGGGTTACAAAAATGACCAGGAAAACATGTTTCCTATTCTTGCATTAATATAATTCATAGCTCTAGCTTTCCAGGGTCTCTGCCCTTTGAAACGTAAGGCATCACAAAGGTGTAGGATTGACCTAGAAGGAACCATGATGTTGATTGTGTCTTGGCAGGAACCCAGTTTTTGTCCCCATAGGAGAGTGTGGATAGTGCTGGGTTAGATGGCCCTGTAGCATACAAAGCTGCTGTTGCTTTAAATTCTTTCATACTTTTCAGATGTAGAAGTAGCAGCTGATTGAAGCAAAAGGCAGATCTGTTTAATAAAATATCTTATCACTCATACTCAGTCAGTAGAATTAAGTAGCAGAATAGGTCAGATAGATCAGCTGAGATAGTAAGGGCTGAGGTTGTAAATTTAAAAGCCTGCCCCCCATCTGCTTTGATTTCATATAGAAAAATGGGTTGAATTATACCTCTTTGACATGATGGTATGCAAAATGTTCAATCCCATATCTAGCCTAGACAAATGCAATGTAGGGAAAATTGTACTGCTTGTGTCTCCTGAATGTACAATTTGACCTCAGTTTTGTGAAGTGTATGATGATTGAAAGTTAAATGCCAGCCCCAAAAGAGATGTGATCTGTCTAATGGCTCTTGGATAGCAAATCACTTGAAGTGCACTACTGTAATTCGTGGATAAATCGTGGTTTCATTTTTTAGTAGGGAGAAAATGGCAGCTTCTAATAATATAAGATTGCTGAACACTAGCTTGGAAAAAATCAAACAGGAGCAGGAAATAATAGAGGAGAATGAAAAGCTGAAACTGGAGAAAGAAGCTTTGAAAAAGGAAAACCAGAATCTGATTCATCAACATGAAGAACTAGAATTAAAGGTTCAGAAACTAACTCATGATCTACAGGTGCGGTGCTGCATCTCAGAGATAACTCACTGGTAGTCTTTCAATAGTAAAATGGCTTTTCTTACTTCAGATATAATTAACATTCTGAAGTTGTTGGGTTTTTCCGCCTTTTTGAAACTTAAGCACTTGGGAAAGCCAAACGATCCTGATGTCCCCAATGTACCTTATAGATCACCTTCAGTGTAGAGCCAGCCAGACCAGATGCCTGGGGAGCTGCAGAATATAATAACAAAAACAGTAAAAATAATTATAATACAGTGGTACCTTACAAGACGATTACCCCTCAAAATGACGAATCCGCATGACGACGAGGTTTTGCAATTTCCATTGTGCTTCACAAAACAGTGTTTCCTATGGGTGATTTTCGCTGGACGATGTTTTGGTCTGTGCTTCGCAAGACGGTTTTTAGAGGGGGACCGATGCTTCGCAAGACGACTATATTAACAGCTAATCAGCGGCTTTGCAAAATGGCTTCCCTGTGGGCAATCTTCGCAAAACGGGTGTTTTCGGAACAGATGCTTCGCAAGACAGCAATTCTAACAGTTGATCGGCGCTTCGCAAAATGGCTTCCCTATGAGCAGTTTTCGCAAAACGACGACTGTTTTCCCCACTGGAACGCATTAAACGGATTCCAATGCATTCCAATGGGGAAACGCTTTTCGCAAGATGATGTTTTCGCTAAACAGCGATTTCAATGGAACAGATTAACATTGTCTTGCGGGGCACCACTGTACAAGATATGTAACCCAATGTGAGGTTTCGATGTTCAGCTTCACATTTGCTCCAAATAAATCACCAGTTTTTCTCGGTTTTGAAATAGGGGTAACATTTATTGGGTTGTTCAACAATAGTCCCGTGTCAACAAACGTATTCCAAGCTTTCTCCCCATTAGACA